TTCATTCCAACTGCAACCAAAATCCAAAAGACACCCTTTATTTATTCAGGCTTTAACATTTTCATTTTAGGTTGTCTGTAAAACTCTTGAAAAATAAAAATAATACCGAAAAAATACGATTTACGAAAATACCCATGTAGCTTATGTGAGATATATACTCCAACTCGTCACTACAATCACAATCAATCATTTTAGATTACTTGTGTACAAAGTGCTCATAATAGGACATGTAATTATTTAAAACTATTTATTTATATCTTCTTTTTGGAAAAATTATAATTAATTATAACTATCACCTAAAATTAGTAGGAAGCCAAGATAAACAACAATACTAACCCCAATTTCCATTAAAATGAGCATATATCATCACCATACGACTTTACTTTGGAATATGACTTGCATGGTACCTATAGATGAAAATTAAATCAAAATAAGGTTCAAAAATTTAAAAATTAAAGGTACAATGAGAAATTTAGAAAATAATTATGTTTCTTACGTTTAGGGAGGCACCAAATTCTTTTATAGAAGATTCCCATGACTTTGGCTTCAGATTTGACTGAGACCCTAAATTTTACACAGATTCATGACAAAGAAAAAGATTTTGGCATACGCTTTGACAAATACCTAAAATATGGACCTGGTGTTCTTTTTCTTCTATATTGTACCAAATAAATAAGAAAGCTATTCCAAACTTAGGATACATAATAGTTGATAGATACTTTCACGCTAAACCAATAACTTCAAAATTGCAATATTGACATACATAATTCATTAAATTACAACAAAATAATTTCAATTTGTAATACTTGTTATAAGTTCAGTATAATTACCATTTGCATGGGAAAAAATAACTATAATAGCAATATACTTACAATGATTTAGTATTTTTCCTGCCACAGTGACCATTATTGTAATGTTTTCCATTTTTATTGCTAAAATGTACAACCTATAAATAATAAAAATGACAAAAATATATGAAGAGATGAAGACAGATATCGAAGGAGACAGACTTGGAAGCATGAATAGGTTGAGATAAAGTTGTAATTTGAAATAATTGAATTTGAATGGAAACTTGAGGTGGGTTTTAAGAGCATTGATGAAGAAAAGGAGAGGCGGGATTTAATTTTTTCAATTAAAGGTAGCCTTTTTTAAACGTCATCGTTTTCATGTTGCCGTTTCTTCCGATCATTAGCATTCTAAAAATCAACACCCTTTTCACCCTAATATTCTTCCACTTTCATATCAACATATTTTCTCACATTCTCCGCTTGCTACACAACAATGAAAGATAAAAACTAATGATCGTGTGTATAAAAAAACATATTGGAAGCAAATATTACACATACCTATGTGCCTGACCCGGTCTCCAAGAAGTGAAAAACACTATTGTGTTATGCTTCAATACTTGTTCCATTGTTTCAATTTGATAATGATCAATATTCCAAAAAATACTTGCGCCAACAAAACGCTTACAAGTAATCAAAATCCTTATATCAGTTAATCATGAACTTTCATTCAAATCATGGAAAACATACCTTCTGTAAGGATTTTGTTAAGAGAATGATGCTTGAAATCGTTTTTTATTAATCTGAAACCAGTGGAAAAAAATGTTCAAAAAACAAATTCAAGAAAAGCATCAGGATCCTATTAAAAGTACCAAATCTGTGTGAAGTAGCAACGACAAGAAGGAAGCAACGGCGTTGAGTGAAGCTAGTCGGAAGTATCAACAACGGGAAAAATAATAAACAACAAAAATCAACTTACCTATTTCTATGATGCTATGTCAGAATTATAGAGAGGAAGAAGTAGATATAAATCAAAGAAGAAAGATTGCAAAAATATACTTGTAATCAACAGGCAAAGATATACATGTAATCATGATTTCATTCATATTATGATGCATGTATATTTGGTATGAGATAAGGTAATTAAAAAACATTGTTGATTTTAAGGAAACCGATTTCGTGATTAGTAAGAGATGATATTGAGGCTTCAATATAGCAATGGACGAGAAAAGTAGCGAAAAGATGCCTGTAGGAGTGACACGTGGAAAGAAAGAGGGTTATAAGGGGACACGTGGTGGTTTATGAGTCTTTTATTAAAACTATACATAATACATAATATATATATATATATATATATATATATATATATATATATATATATATATATATATGGTGAGGTACAATAGAAAACCATAATTAACCAATGAACTAAGGAACCGATCTTTTTTTTCAACTTTTAGAACTTATTTTGTATAAAAAAAACTAAAAATATAGAAATTCATAACTTTTTATCATTTTCCAATGATATCAAATTTATTAATTTTTTTTTCCGTTAAATTCATAATGTAAATCTTTGAAAATTTACAAAGTGATTCTATATTCACACGGTGAATCTGAAAAATATATTTAACATTCATAATGTTAAGTTATGAATTTATATATTTTTAGTTTTTTTTTTTTGATAAAGAATAAGCTTTAGAACTTGAAAAAAATATTGAGAAAACTACAATAAAGTCCCTACATATTGGCATCATAATCGATTTAGTCCTTATATATATTTTTTATTCAATTAAATCCCAAATACCGATAATCGTATTCAATTTAACCATTTGACCCGGTCAACAGTTCATCCAACTTTCAAAAATTACATTTTTCGCCCAGATTTCAAAATTTATTACAAATTTGGTCCAAATAAACATTTTTGGCCCAGATTTTAATTTTTTTTTTACAAATTTGGTCCAAAATTCACCCTTTTTGCCCAAATTTTAGAATTTTATTATGAATTCATCCTAACTTTAGTTTTTTTACAACTTTTTTCTCAAAAGTTTGTTTATAATATTTTTTTCTTTAAAACTCATATTTATACAAAAAAACATATTTTCACATAAAAATCTTATTTTTTCTATATAAAAACGTTTTTTAAAAACTTTTTGTATATGAAATATGTAATTATAAAAATAGGTTTGGATTATTTGTGTGATTTCTCTTAAAAAATCAATTAAGGAATTAAAAGTAACCCTAATTTATACTATTAAATTATAGTTTGTAAAAAAAAACTAGTTACACTAGTTACCCTAAATTAAAAGTAACCCTAAGTTATACTATTAATATAGAGATTTTAATATGTGTTCTATTTAGTGTGTATTTTTTTTTCTATGAGATTTTAATATAGTTGTTTATGTGTATTTTTCAATCTGTTGCATCTTCGTAAATTAAATCATACATTCGATCACATATGTATGACAAAAGGTATGTAAAGTTGTTCTAATCTCATATATGACAATCCATATTGATTTCAGTAGGAGTTGTAATTATCAACGTTTGTAATACTTTTTTATATTTGTTAAATGCCATTTTCTGCCAAAAACCTCCTTATCAACAAATGACAATTGCTCCATTCTAGATAGTTATTTTTTGTTATTACAACAAACAAAATTGACACATGAATCCGCTTTTACAAAGAAGTTTAAATAAAGAAATCCAAAGTGATGATGAACTATATGTATGAACATGTATTCAGCGAGAAACAAAAATACGAAGTTTTCAATATGTAACATCTTCTATTATTTAAACTTTTTCTATAAATGTGATTAAAGAACAAATAAATAATATTAAAATGAGTGTAACTAGTTTTTGATAAACTATAATTTAATCGTATAATTTAGGGTTACTTTTAATTTCTTAATTGATTTTTAAGAGAAATCACACAAATAATCCAAACCTATTTTTATAATTAGATATTTCATATACAAAAAAGTTTTTATATAGAAAAAATAAGATTTTTAAGTGAAAATATGTTTTTTTTTTTTTTTTTTTTTTTTTTTTGTATAAATATGAGTTTTAAAGAAAAAATATATTAGAAACAAACTTTTAAGAAAAAAAGTTGTAAAGAAAACTAAAGTTTGGATGAATTCATAATAAAATTCTAAAATTTGGTCAAAAAGGGTAAATTTTGGACCAAATTTGTAAAAAAATTTAATATATGGGCCAAAAGTGTAAAATTTAGACCAAATTTGTAATAAATTTTTAAATCTGGGCTGAAAATGTAATTTTTTAAAGTTGGATGACCTGTTGACCGGGTCAAAGGGTTAAATTGAATACGATTACCGGTATTTTGGACTTAATTGAATAAAAAATATATATAAGGGCTAAATCGATTATGAGACCAATATGTAAGGACTTTATTGCAGTTTTCCCAAACGTATTTGTTCCTTGGAGAACTGATAATTATGAATCTCTATTGAACTTTTTCATATATATATATATATATATATATATATATATATATATATATATATATATATATATATATATATATATATATATATATATATATATATATATATATATATATATATATTGGGGAAAACAATATAGTAAAAACCCGAAATGGTTTTTTTAGTAAAGTGAAAAAAAATGACATTTTTATGTAAAAAATAAAATAAGAACAAAATGGATATAAATCTTTCCAGTTAGCTTTAGATGATGTGATTGATGGGTATTTGTGTTATTTGATGATAATTGATATGAAATTTAATTATTCAAAAATAATAAGTTAGCAAAAGCAAAATATGTATGTGAGGTCATGCACATAAAATATATGTTTTGTTATCCACATAGAATTTACGTTTCGTTGATTTCTACTATTGCATGAAAAAGACATTCTCTTTCATTTCATTAATCACGATTGATATAGTTTGATTTTTTTTTTTAATCATTATTGTTTATTTTTTTTGCCAAAAAAAAAAAAAAAAGGGCTGGCACGAAGAGTTGCACATGTTCAAAATGGCCTACTTAAACACGCTAAAAGTCATTATGGATGATAAATTAAATAGAATAATGCAAATATTTTCAACTCATTCATTTCATCCGAAACATAGTTAATGCAACTTTTATTTATTGACCACATCTCAAACATATAACATAAAAAATGTAACTAGAAAGGAAACATATAAGCATCCCATGAACCATCAATGAGAAACAAATTCTAACATATGAACCAATTTGGACTAAATAAAAAAAAAAAAAAAAAATACATGATTTTTCGAAAGCTTCATTTGTATTTAGACTTTGAAAAACTCCACTTGAAACAAGAAACAATCTTCCTAACATCATTTCTTATAGAAAGGAAAGCAGAAACGACCGTGATAGACATAGTCGGGTAGTAAACCGAAATGGCATTTTTGTAATATTTGAGAACTTCATGTCTTTTGTAGAAATGGGGTTCTTTAGAAAGTCCCCAAATTAACAAAATCATACCAAAAAACCCCAACCTCCTTGATCTATACAACCCTATCATCGCACCAGCAATCGCCAAATAACTCCCTGCTAAAACCTAAAAAAAATGGATTTCTCATCAATTTATACTCATTTTTTTTTTCAATTAATCATTACCAAATTATGACATAAATTTATTTAAAAAAACAAACCTCGATATGTTGAAGATCAGTAACTGAAGGGTTTTGCTTGAGATTTTTTAACTTGTATGAGTCTAATAAGGCTTTGTATTTTGGAATAGGTTTATCATTGAAAAGAGCTTTCGCAATGGCTCCAGGGTAAAGGACAGCTGTCACTACCCCTGAAGGAATTACTTCACTCGCAAGTAAATGAGAAGATGTTAGCTCCATTGGTGTCATGCATGTTCCAATTCTACATGGAAATCTGCATAAATATAACAATTATATATATGTATCAATAACTGTTTCTTGAAAAATCCCAAATTTCTTTACACATTGCGATTGAATCACTTTATTGTAGAAAAAAAAAAACGTAATTTCTGTTGGAAGATGAACAGGAATTGAAGAAAGAACTGATTTTGCACATAAACTGTAAAGTGAAGTAATTTAAAATAGATTGGTGCATGATGTAACGTAATGATGACTAGGTCAAATTTAGGAAGTAAATGCAGATGTAAACTGCTAATACATGAATTAAATAAAAATGCGATAAAACTGTTGGCATCTGATCTGTAAGCATTGCTGTTAAATCACTTCGTTGGAGAAAAAGTGGGAAGATCAACGAGGAAGAATTGATTTTCCGCAGAAACTGTTAAATGAAGTAACTAAAAACAGATTGCGGATAAGATAATAATAATTAGGAAAAATTTAATCTCTCAATTAACGATTTGCGAATGTAAATGTGATCATAACAGCGTGAACAGATTTTTCTTTCCGCATTGCCATTAAATCACTTGAATGTAGGAAAAAAAACCTAATCGAGAACCGCTTTTCGTCAGAAATCGTACAAAAAGTAATTAAAAATCAGACTGCTGCATGAATATGAAAATGCAAAAGCTTCTGATAATGTCGAATGCATAAAGATAATTAGGTCAAAATTGACGTCTCAATCAACGATTTTCGATGAACAAGTTGCGGATTAAAATGTCAGGATATGGATTTAACAAAGAAGCGATAAAATTGATACCTGAAAAGAGGAATTTGGAAGAAGATGAAGAAAAAGAATATTCTGGAAGCAGTGAAAGAAATGATTGTTGCCCACTTCCTCGCTTTTGAAGCCATGGCGGATGGATGTCGTAGGATTGTGCCTTTTTTATATTTATAGTTTTCTTCTTTTCAACGGGGTCCGGGATATGCTGCCGTACGGACCCACGATAACATCGTTGGTCCACTGTCTTCGTGAGAAAATCGCCTCTTTCTTCATAAAACCGTTTTTGGAAAGTAACATTCACGTTTACATTGATTTAAGGGGTGTTTTAAAAAAAAAGTAGATAAGATTATAAAAATAAATACAACTCATTTAAATACACAATGAATTACTTACGTTAAACAATAAACATGTTAGAGAATTTATTTTCTAACGAGTATACTTTTTTTTTTTTTTTTTTTCTTTTTAAAAAGACAACTAACCTATCATACCCATTAAGGCTGTGTTTGGCGCGTTACAGCTAGCTGGTAAGTTAGCTTATTTTTCGAGTTTTTTGATGTTGTTGTGTTTGGTAAGCCAAAAAGTAGCTTATAAGCTAACTTATAAGCTACCTTTTGAAAAACTACTTAGACTAGCTTTTTAAAAGCCTTTTTTAAAAATTTCTAGATACACCCCTTAATTAATTATAGTAACACATACTCTCACATTTTATTTTATGTAATTTTATATATTTCAACTAGCTTTACCAAACATCATTTTTTATCAGCTAACTTTTCAACTATCAGCTAGCTTTAAATTTAACAGCTAGTTTTTCAGCTATCAGCCAGCTTTTCAGCTAACAGTTAGTTTTTCAGTTAGTACGTCAAACATAACCTAAGGAGGCGCAGTTTAGTAAAAATAAACCTAAAACTTATAATATATAAAATAAAAAAATAAAGTACTTTCTCATTTCATCTCATAATATACTTTCAAGACAATTACACAAAAAATATACTTGCTTCATGGTTTTTAGTTCCACGAGGCATGCTAACTGATAAATTGATAAATTCTGAATTTAAAATGAACTCTGTTCATGAGTCTTGAGCAAACAAGCGTGACTCTCAATGTAAAAATCTGAATTAGAACAAATACTTTAGAAATTAGTCTATTAGAATCTAGATGCATTAAGTCAGAAACAAAAAGATAAAAAGATAGAAAGTTACAATAAAAACATACCTGATTTAGTTAGGGGCGAAGTTACTTACGGCTTCCTAAGGTTCTACATTTATATACAGTTTACATAGTAAATTTTTAAGGAACTATCTTAGAGCATTTTGGATGAAAGTAACAGGAAAAAAAACATGATCTAGATTTTTTTATCAAGTTGAATGAGATGTTAGATATGGCATGAATCAGAAGCTCATTAAAAAGAGAAAAAAAAAAAAAAACACAAACACACACAGAAAAAACCAAAGAATTAAAAACATAGAAAAAGATAAGAGAAATATGTGATGGTGTTGGTGATTGAGAGGCCCAAGGATATCTATAAGGGAAAAGAAACAATACCTTGATTTTGACATGCATGATATTATCTTGATTCTTGTTATGCTTGCACAATACTTAATGTGTGTTGTTAACCAAACAAATTTAAATTAGAGTTATTATTTTGATTTTATGTGCTTTAACATTATAATTTTATTTTGTTTAATTTGGTTTTTCGTAACGATGGAATATATATGGTTTTGAAAACAATAAAACTTGCTAGTTTGCTATAGGTTTTGTTTGTACTCATTTTTATTAGTTAGTTATGAAGATGCTTACATTTCATATATTGTTTGAAGGGTAATATGATATATATTAACATCTTGTTATGTCGTGTTCAAGTCTTCTTCCATTCGGTATTATTGAGTACATGTAATTGTAAGAAATTTTTATGTATAACTATAAGATATATGTTAAAATATTTAAAGGTATACATCCCAACTCGTCACGAAGTATAATTAATCCTTCCATTTTATCGAGTACATGTAATTAAGGAACCACATAATTTTATGTTCTAGATTCGCCACTAGAATTAGTAATTTTAAAAGACTATCGAGTTGAATTTTAATCAAGATTCACAAAGATTAGAAGAGTCGATGATTGTGATTTTTAAAGGTCGAAGGGTGAAGATAAGAATCGAGAACATGGTTTCTAAATTTTCCATGGCGATTATGAATTCTGGATTGTGATTGTGATTCTTAAATACGAATGAATGTGTAACAAACCGATATTTCAAGTCAATGTAACGACTTAAAGTCAAATATTGTAACTTATTTTTGAAATAATAAAAATAGCATTAAAAATGAAATGTTCAAAAATCTCAATTCAAATGTACTAAGTGATAGATGTCGTAACAAGGTTTTCAAAAATATAGAGAACACTAAAATCCGAGATATAACGAAGAAGTTATGACCAATCGAAGATCCGCAACACAGCCGGTAAATCACTGTTAAGCATAAAACACGAAATTTCAATAAAATACTTTTTAGCCATAGGTATCTAAATGAAAGTCGTAGATGTCATTAAACCGTAAACATATATAAAAAGAACTTCCAAATATAACTTTGTCTGAGGAGTTATGGTTTTTCTAACTTTCAAATATAGCAGTAGACAGTTAAAAATTCGAAATAAAGATCGAGCGACTTTTAGCCTACGCCATCTAAACCAGAATCGAAGACCTCGACAACAGTAGTACGGTAAAAAGACAGACAAAAACGGACGTGGGATGAAGAAGTTATGGATTTTTAACGGACTTTTCTAGTCCCGGCCTATTAAAAATATAATATTAAAAATAAAGTCAAAATTATTTGATGGAATCTAAACGAAAGTCTACGTGTGGATATAAAGAACGTCGAAATCGGAACTTGTATGCGAGATATATGAATTTATGAAGTTCGGGACACGAAACCCCACACTGTCAGGAAACTCACGACGTGAACCATAAGCTCACGACGTGAGCTAGTGACTAATGTGTGCCAGAGTCGGGCTATTAGTCGTCGAGTCTACTGAGGAGATAAGATCGAGCTCACGACGTGAACAACTTCATGTTCATGACGTGAACTCATAAAATGCACCCTATAAATAGAAGTCGAGGGTTCCGAGTTTGGCTGCTCATTTCTATCCCCTCTCATACTTCTACTCTGTGTTAAGCATCCCGAGACTACCCCAACTCCCCGGTTACGTGCCCAAGCCTTGATGGAAGCCCAAAGTTCCGAATTTCCCGAGAAACTTGCTTCTTTCTAGTCGAAGTGTTACCTGAGTTAAACATCATCTTCATCAAACCATCACTCTTACCAAGTGAGTTCATACCCCTATCACTACACTTTTAAATGCTTTTTAAACACTTTTAGGTGTTGGGGGGGGGGGGAATACAATTAAACACACTGTTAAAATTGTGTGAAAACATCAATCTTTTACCATAAACTCCTTGCTGCTGTTATAACTATCATACAAAAATGTTAGCACGCAAAACATCTTACGATACCATTTTACCATCTCGGGATGAGTTATGCTTGTAAATGAAAATGTGCTTTATTTATATGTTTGCATAACACATCTTGACAAGGGTAACCATTTTCAACTATAACAATACTTATATACAAGAAAATACACATGATTGTTATGCCTTTATCAACATAGTAAAGAGGGTAATCATTTCGGACAATAAACACATTCATTTCAAAAATACGTGACTTAATTGAGAATATGTGAGTCATTCGTCTTCATTGTACCTATCAAGGTATACAAGAAAGCCATGTTTTATAACTAGAGTCTCCGTCCGGAGAACGTGATAAGTGTGTATAGATCTATACGGGACTGATGATCCCGCACCCTGGCTGCTAGCTACAGCCGGACCGACAGGTTAAGGGTGACAAGCGTCATAACATTTCGACGCCTGAAGAACATCGTTACATGCAAATCCATCATAGTACGGTTATGAAAACTCACATGATAGACAATTATTATGGTATTATGTTTCACGGGAAAACTAATATTACCGTTATTTTACGTAAAAATACAGGCTTCCTCTAGTTTTGTTCACTAATTCAACTATACATTTTCAGTATAAGTATGTCATTTTTACTTACAAATTACAGTCTTGGAGATTTAAGACTACTTCTTTCTTTTAGGAAAATATAGGATTTTCCTGATCCAAATACATCCATTTTATACAACATCGATTCATAACTCATTTTGTAAGAAAATATCAGATTTTCTAGAAAACAAACGCGAACTTTTGAATGGCATGCATTTACTCAAATAACTACTTATGAGCTCACCAACTTAATTTTTGACACTTTTTCTTTGAAATAACTTGTATTCTCAGGGAATCGCTAAACACCAGGTTAACAACTGCTTTTGGGAACTAATGCTCTGGCATTAGTAACATCTTTTGGAACATCATATTGTATTTGACTTTTGAAACATGTAATAAAACAATCATGTAAAAATTTCAAATATATATTATGGTGGTGTGTACTTTATTTACTATTCAATTGTTATGATACTGTACATGACGTCCTCCGCCCCCGAATGTTTCCGCTGTTCAGGTTTGGGGGTGTGACAGATTGGTATCAGAGCATTGTTTATAGTAAACTAAGTATATCAAAACCATTTTTGATATACATGTATAAACACAACTAGGCAAAAACACTATGATTAAGAGATATACTTTAAAAAAATATAGTTTTATTAAAAGTATACATGCATACATTACATGACAGTGACAATATCATAAGAAAAACAATATAGAAATATTATAGGTGAGTTGTGCACTACAGGTATGCCTTGGAATATGTAATCGGGACTGGGATGAATATAGTCTGATCAACTATATTTATCTGAGAACCGACTAACATACGTCAGGGAATAGTTGCAGTGGAAGACAAGTCTAAAACTTACTAAACATGTAATCTTTAGAATCAAACATAACATTTAGAATACTATAGGAGTATTTTGTAAACGCAATAGTTTAACCCTGATGTTCAAATTTATATGAATTAGTGTTTAGACAATTCTCATATCCCTATTCTCGTGCAGACACAATGGCCAGATTTCATCTACCAGGGGACCCTTACTACCCAAACCAAGGTAATGGAGGCTGGGTGGAAGATGATCCAGAAGAGGATCCCGAAGAAA